CTCCCTCGCCGGCGCCCAGCGCCGCCTCGGGATGTCAGTTAGCCGCGAGGCTAACTAGGCATTTGCCCTGGGCATTTGGGGGGCGGCTTTTTTTGCCGCCCCCTGAAAAATGCCGCCCAAGGCAAATGCCTTGTTTGCCTCGCGGCTAATACGCCCCTGACTACACAATATCGTTCATTTCCCCAACGCAATCAGTACAATTCTCACCGTACTCATCACAAGATTCCATCATCACCTACATACCAAAATACATTAGTGCTCCAATATAAACAATTGTCCCCTAAACCACAGAGATCGAAATATATTAATGACCACAATGAATACTCTAACTACCAGAAGTCACCCACAATTCCCCACCATTCTAATAGATACCAACTACTATCACTAGACTCAGAATTCGAAAACGACGACCATTTTTTAGAAATTCGTACTCATCACACTGCACTAACTCAAACACCTCACCCCTCACGGCCAAGAAAAAGAATTTTAAATTTAGAGGAAGAAGAAGCGGCAGACGCGAACAAAAGAGAAAGACTAGAAAGATAACGACTTCTTCAACTAGTACTAGCAGTGGCATTTTTAACCTCTCACAGAAAATTTTAACCAGCGCACAATTAGCTGTTTTAACTAAAGGTCTTAAATTTGCCCCCACTAATACTTTTAAATCTTTTGAAGCTTTTATAGATGTCAATAAATTTGTTCGGAAAGCCACTCTTAAACGATTTTTTTTAGAAAAAAATGGAGATAATCAGAGTCAATATCCGGTTTTACCCTCTCCTACCCCGTCCCATATTAATTCCATCATGAATACACACCTCAGAGAAAAATCCACCTTTTATCCAGCTCACTTTAAATCTGCCCCTCTAACGATGTTTGAAAAATTGGTTATAAATGATTTAGAAAAAATTAAAAACAACAAATACGATCCTCATAACCTTACACACACAGAAAAGTTGGCATTAAAAGAATTACAGGACGACGTAAATATTGTCATCAAGCCTGCAGATAAAGGTGGTGGAATAGTTATTCTATCTAGCTATATGTATATTGAAGAGGCACATAGACAATTGCACGACAAAAATGTATATGATAAACTCCCCTCAGATCCCATCAAACAGATACAAACTATTTTAACTCAGTTTTTAGCTAAAGGCGTCAATTTAGGTATTTTAAACAAACATGAATTTAATTTTTTAAATAATAAATTTCCCGTTACTCCAGTTATTTACTTCCTTCCCAAAATCCATAAAAATGAAACGGTACCACCGGGGAGGCCTATTGTGTCTGGCATAGGCTCTCTCCTATGTAATCTCTCTCAATATATCGATATCCTCCTACAGCCTTCAGTCAAACGTATGAGATCCTATCTCCAAGATTCCATGGCCCTTTTAAAGTTTTTAAATAATTTTACATGGAAATCTAATTTTATACTGGTGACTTGCGACGTTCAATCACTATATACAATCATACCTCATGATATTGGCTGCAAAGCTGTAAGAGATATCTTGATGAGTGAGGGACAAATTCCTGATATACAAATCGATTTTATTTTAGAAGGTATCAATATTATTTTAAAGAATAACTATTTTTGGTTTTTAAACTCTTTTTACCTCCAAAGAAGAGGCACAGCTATGGGAACTAGGTTTGCTCCCAGCTACGCGAATCTATTTATGGCCGACTGGGAATCTACAGCTGTTTTTAGTGACCATTCTTGGAGAGCGAACCTGGTTTCATTTTTTAGATATATTGATGACCTTTTTTTTATATGGGAAGGTTCCGAAGATGATCTTAACTCTTTTATCACCACTCTTAACAACAACGATAGAGGCATAATCCTCACTCATGAATATAGTAGGGAACAAATTAACTTTCTAGACCTCAATATTTTTATTAAGGATGGCAAAATACACACTAAAACTTATTTTAAAAAAGTATGCGTAAATACTGCTATAGATAAGAGCAGTTGCCACTACCAACCCTGGTTAGACAGTGCTCCGAAGAGTCAAATATTGAGACTCCGGAGGAACTGCTCAGAAATAAGCGATTTTAATACTCAAGCTAATGTACTGAAAGATAAATTCATCGAAAAAAATTATTCTGAAACGGAATTGACCAATACCATTAGAGACATTCAAAATAAAGATAGATATGAACTTCTAAAATATAAACCCAAAACTAAAGATGAATCTATGCCCCTAACAATTATTTTTAATTTTAATAATAAAAGTAATAATGTAAAAAAGATCATAAAAAAACACTGGCATATCCTACAACAGGACGATACCCTTGGTAAAATTATACCAGAGCGTCCGAATGTAATATTTAGAGGAGCCAGAAATTTTAAATCAATACTAACAAAAAATTATACAAAGGAAGTGAAAAATATACCCCCTATATCCTTCTTTCCCCAAATTAAAGGTTTTTGCAAATGCAAGACGTGTATAGTTTGTAGAACTACTGACCCTGCTGTCCCATGTAAAGTTACTCAGTTTATGTCGAATCGGACAAACAAGGTCTACAAAATTCATGATTTTATTAACTGTTCTACTAAAAATGTTATATATCTGCTCGAATGCCCCTGTGGCCTCCAATATGTTGGAATGACCACAAGGTGCTTAAAAACACGCTTAAGCGAGCATTGCAGAAACATCAAAAATGGATACCAGAACCATTCAGTATCCAAACATTTTATTCAACATAATAGAGACCCTAGTAAGCTGAAATGTATAGGCATTAAAAAATGTGTGATTCCCTGGAGGGGTGGAAATATAAAAAATATCTAAGGTAAAGTGGAAATGGAGTGGGTGTACAGACTCCAAACTCTTACACCCCATGGTCTCAATGTAGACTTTGATTTGTTCAATTTTTTATAATAATTTTTTAGCATCTTTTTCACATTTTGTAATCTTTTTTTTTTCACACTATCTTCTTCTGCCAGTTTTTAGTAGCCAGTACACCTTCCCATATCCATTTTATCCATTCTCATTCGTTTTATGTAATATGCTTCACTTAATTTTTTTTATTTATGTTTTCCCTTATGGTTTCCTTTCCATGCTTGGTCGGCCGCATTGTTTTTATGCCGACTAAGCTTTTTTTGTTGCTCAGACGACGGCTGCAGCCTTGTGCTCGCCGTCGTCTGTTTATTTGGTTTCCTGGACGACGGCCGCATTCCCGTGCGAGCCGCCGTCGTTCCACCTCTCCTACTGACGTCAGCCGCAATTAGTGTGCGAGCTGACGTCTTACTGTTCACATAGACGCCGGCGGCTGCGCAGTGCGCGCCGGCGTCTACACTATTACTCCTGGTTTCCTGGACGACGGCCGCATTTCCGTGCGAGCCGCCGTCGCTCCACCCCTCCTATTGACGTCAGCCGCAATTAGTGTGCGAGCTGACGTCCTACTGTTTACATAGACGCCGGCGGCTGCGCAGTGCGCGCCGGCGCCTACACTACTACTCCCATACTCCCCAGCGGCATGGTGCCGGTCACATGACCGCACACATTAATTTACAAATATAGAGTTATACTTTTCGTTTTACACATGTACTAATACCATAATACTTATAATTAACATATGATTGTATAAGAGTGTTGATCTCTCTACTTTTAAACTGTTTTATCAACTTATGTTTTTACTCCTTGTTGATTGGCTGCTCACTTTAGGCGCCAATTTTATAGAATTACAGTTGTTATATAAACTATGTTATGCCAGGTTTCAGGTTCTTACCCCATATTGATAACGCCATTTGTGGCGAAACGCGTTTATGGACTTTTAATTGTGTATTTTATATATATTAAAGTATATTTGGTTACTTTTTAATCTGTGCCACTTATCCTTTTTATACACTCTAATTTATTTACTACCTGGCATTTTCTCAACATCTCGGACTCCAAGAAATCCTAGGTGGGGATCATACCACCAGCGCTACGTCAAGGAGCAGTTGTTCTGCTCCCGCCTTGTGAGTACCCATTTTATTTTCATTTATTTTATTACCAACATTGTATCCAGTGTACACTATTGGTTGTTTCTTTCTACCCGAGTGTCTGATACACCACTGACGGAGGAAGTCTACCCTATATCCCATAAGCGGGGATCAAATCGCTGTACGCCTTCTATACTAGAGCAAGTTTAGCTCTTTCAAATGTGAGTTTTATTTTTCCCTTCTTATTCATTTTTTAGTGTTTTTAACATTTTACACTATTGGCTCTCCACCATTTTATCTTCCATATACGAGTGGATTCTCACGGATGAATATATAAAGGACAATTGCTCCGGATCAAGCACGGATAGATCCCATAACTCCAAAGAACATACTCTAGATAAGACTTTTCTTATTTTACTACAGCTATTTATTTGGACTATTTGCAATTTTCATTTGTGTATTGGCGCAGCCCTTATCTCTTATTTTCTCTCTTTCTGGTTGAATGCCCCAGCTGCGCAGTAGTTTGTGGCCTTCCTCTGGCGTGTTGACCGTTGTCAGTGTGCCATTCCTCCTGATCAGCAGGCGGACCGGGTATCCCCACCGGTACTGGACGCCATTGTTGCGCAGGGCCTCTGTGGTCGTTTTGAATTCTTTCCTTTTCTGTAGTGTAGCCGCTGACAGATCCGTGAAGATTTTTATGTGGGTGAATTTTTGTGGCAGATCCCTTTGCCCTCTCGTGGCCTGGAGAATTGCCTCTTTTACGTGGAAGTAGTGGAGGTGGGTTAGCACGTCCCTTGGTGTGTCTTGCGGCAGGAACGCTGGCTTTTGGACCCTGTGGTACCTGTCCAGGATCAGCATCTCCGCTGGTAGCTCGGGGGTCAGTGCTTTGAAGTACTCTATGAGGAAGGGGTGCAGATCTTGTTGAGACACCTCCTCCGGTATGCCTCTAATTCTCAGATTTTGTCTTCGTGAGCGGTCTTCCAGATCCATGATTTTCCTTTGGGACTGGTCCAGTAGCTGCTGCAAGTTGTGCACTTGGTCTGCCAGCTCGTTATGAGCAGATGTCTGCTCCTCCACGCGCTGTTCCACCCGTGCGGTCCTGTCCCCCAGCTCCTGCACGTCTTTGCTGAGTTCCCTCAGAGTGCTTTGGATAGACGCCAGGATTTTGCTGGACATATCCTCCAAGCATGTCTGCAGAAAGTCTTGCGTGACTGGCAGGTTGTGGGAGCCCGTGGGCGTCCTTAGCGGCAGTGTGTCGTTCCTGCCGTCGCCATCTTGGGCCTGGTCCAGCAGGCCTGTAGCTTTCGGCGTCGAGGCTCGGGTCGCGAAGAACTCCGACCTGTCGGATTTTTCTGTTTGCTTCTTGTGCTTTGGGTGGGACATCGTTAGGTGAGTCGGGGGTCCCGGTTTTTCCCGCAGGCAATGCTGTTTTTTGTCGCTTTTAGGGCTAGCTGGGAGCGGAGCTCAGTCCCGTGCGTCCATCCGCGTTGCCCGCTAAGCCACGCCCCTTGTATATGTTTTTAATATAAAACATTCTGTGTTTTTTCTCTCTAATTTTTAATATTTATTATTTCTTATTATTATTTTTCAGTTCTACATATTCATTTTTTATGGTGGTCTAACTAAAATTATATATATATATATATATATATACATTATTATGGAATTTTTTTCTTTTAACATGTTATTGTTGTTGATGAAAGTTTTTTATGGATCCAGTCCAGGGTTTACCTTTTATTTATGTTAATTAGGTCATGCCTGGGCTATTTAATCTTTGATCTGTGGCAATTACTTTGTCTTGAGAAAGTCCCGTGGGTGGGACGAAACGCGTCGACGAGTCACAGCTGATTACGTGACGTTCTGCTCTGTTGCTGTGGGGAGCTGTAGTGTTTGCCGGTGTCTGTCGGGAGTTGGTCTCTCACACCGCGGTCTTTTTTGAAGACACCGACCGCGGTGAAATACGCTATATTCAGTTTGTGGGTGAGTCTCTGTCCCACTGGTGGTTTGTGTTTCATCTGCTTTCCATCTACACCGCGGTCTTTTTTGAAGATCCCGACCGCGGTGCAACATCTATTTGTCCTCTTTCGACGGATCCCTGTCTTTTAGTCACTACTATCTCCCTTGATTTGTACCTCGGTGGGGGCCCCCACCGAGGCAAGGTACTTTTATCTTGTTTATTTGATGCTTATTTCATTTGTAATTTTTTTGTTAGCTTTTGTTATCCCTCCAGATACTTTGTTTTCACACATTGTAGCCTTAGTATCTGTCAGGTGCTTACTCTGGCTTCATTATTTGTCAGGATTTGCTCATTCATTGATATTTTATTTTGTCAAGTACCTTTCAGCAACAGATCAATTCAGTCATGCTCATATAGGCCTCATTCCCTACTGTAAAGTTCCAAACTACAGTCCACACTTCATGCTCAGTGAAATGTTTGTGCTTGTGAAATTAATTTGTTTTCCCTTACTGACATGCTATTGTTCTTCTTGTTTATAATTTAGAAAAGAAAAGTGTAATCTCGCCACATGCCAAGTTTAGGTAACCAGCTATTCTTGGAAAAAATCTTATTTGTATATGCTTAATTGGCCATATCGGCATAATTGTTGTTTCATGCACTGCAAAAATAAAGATTTTTTTGTTTTAAATGTACAAAAAATGATGTACATATACTTTTCATCACTTTTGTATGGGTTTACACAATGTGCAGCACTGACATTCAGTGTCTCCACCCTCTGCATGGAGACGCTGAACTTTCCTCACAGAAATGCATTGATTTAATGCATCCCTATGAGAAGATGCTGATGGTGTCCCCGGTCCACCTCCTTGGCTGAGATCATCAGAATTGCTTTCCTATGGGAAAGCATTGTTATTTGCTGACATCATCACTTCTGATTATGTCAGCCAAGTAGGCAGATCAGGGGCAGATTTTAATATATTTAGGGAGTCAACTGGGGGAAAGGAACACTATACATGTGTGTCCCTGACCCTATAGTTTTCCTTTAAATTGCCTTTTAAAAAGGATATTTGCAAGATTACAGATTTAGGTAATTATCTTGCTTTGCCAAAGATGTGCCCAATAAATGAAAGAGAACGTCTAAATTAAAGGGGAAAAGTCACGATTCTGAAAAATTCACAATGGAGTAAAAAATTGAAAATCACCTATAACTTGTGTAAACCTTTTTTTCTACAAGGCTCTGTTTTCTTTACATTTGTATTGGAAATTTAGCAAATTACATCATAATCCAGGTCAGACAATGCAAAGGCAGAACACACATCGAAATCATCTATAGAAACATTGTTTAATGTCTCCTCTTCATTGTTTCTATGCTGACTGTCAGGTGCAAAAGATTTTATAACAATGATTGACAGGGAGCCAAAATGGAGGCACCTAGTTGCCAGATAAAGAGATCTAGATTTCTACATTTAAGTTTATTTTTCACACCACACAAATATACATATTTGTTAAATTCGGGGTAAGTAAGCATAATATTTAAATTCCAGAGAAGTGACAGTTCCCCTTTAACCTTTTCATATGATAATCTTTCTATTAAATGTATTTTTATAGATTTATCAAATTACATTAAAATCTACTGGAGCCCAGACAAAGCATGGGCATAATTTGCAAATGAGGAAGAGGAATAAATATTGTTTCATCTATTATCAATATACTATATTTATGCTCACTGCCAGGTGCACAGGAAAATGTTTGTTACAATGATTGACAGTGAGCAAAGATGTAGATGCCCATTTGCAACATAGAGAAATGGACTAGCAAGCAAATAGCAATCCAGGAGATAAGAACTTCTAAAATAAACACACACTGCAAAATGATTACCGTAAGTGTGCACTTAAAGGGATACAATAGGCACCCAAAAATGAAGCAGTTGTAGTACATGAATCATGCCCCTGCAGTCTCACTGCTCTATTCTTTGCCATTTAGGAGTTAAATAATTTTTGTTTGTGTCCAAGCCACCTTAGCCAACACATCCCCTTGCTGTGACACACAGCCTACATGAAACAAATGGCATTTTGCTGTAGTTTCTATCTAGGCAGGGGCATGATATTTACAACAAAACTGCTACATTAAGCTAAAGTTGTTTTGGTGCTTATGACACTCCTTTAAATAGGTTTTTCTTCCAATATTATTCCCCCCAAATGTGGTGTCTTGTGAATTAGGACATGGGTGGGAAAGGGGAGGGTCTGCCCGTTGGATCGGCAGTACAGTATGGAGAAGCGTAATATAGGCATTACAAAGATTGCAGATCCTCACCCAGGAAGTCCCTCTAATGAATGTCTGACTGACTGCCACTAGAAATGGACTTAGGTAGCAATGTAAGCACTACTTTTAGTCAGAAAAGACAGTGCTTACACTGCTTAACCTGCAAGAACAGGCTATATGCCCTAAAACACTAAATAGAGGCTCTAGTCCATGTGAGTGGGCATTTGCTAAAAATTGGGTGTCTCATACGGTTATTGTACATATTACACTATTGATGGCTATTTACTTTTATTTTTGAGGTTCTGCAACTCCCCTAGAAACCCTAAGTACTGGCAAGTATTAAATTTAGTTTTATGTCAGCATTTGTGAATGGTGGCATTGCACTTAATATTTTAGGGTGTGGGATTTTATATTGCACGTCACTTTGAAGAGTATATTCTTATGCAGTGTGCAACACTATAAGCACTTAAAAAAAAAGACATGTTTGTTCACTAAGAGTAATTTTAATTAGACAAGCACTTTGGAAATTTTTGATGTGCCAATTGTATACTATTTTTTTTTTCATATACATTTCAATCCTTTTGACTCTAATCATGAATTTTGGACTGGTGTCGTTACATCACACTTCCTGTCCTCCTAACAGAGTCTCTTTCCCTCTTTAAATTTAGCAATACTAATATCCAAACCATTCCTCTTCATTATCATCTCCTACCTCACCTTCTCCAACTTTATTTCAGGAGCTCTGCAGGGCATAGACAGTAGCATTCAGTATGAGAAGTGAATGACAGCCTTCTCACTCCTGGGTGAGGACATGATGAGTGATAGTATGAATGACAGTATGACTTAAAATGGCATGTGATGGCAGTCAAAAGAGGGGGGTTGTTACTTAATTCTGCCACCCATCTTAATATGACCGTTTATTTCTACATAAGGTCCCAGGTCTATTTCTGTCAGGAAGCCTGGATTTTGCCCAGTCAGCCCTACCTTTACTTACTTAGCACAGTACAAGGGAATTTATTGGTGCTATATAAGACAAATGATTGCCACATACAAGTGTATCCAAGGTCAACATTTCCTGATGATCTTTTCATGAGAAAGTTGCTTGCTGATGAAAAGTGTCAGACACAGACTCATGTGGTATTACCCACTGGAGCACTTCCAGACACCGAAGAAATGGAGGCCTTGGGATAATCATCATAGCGGTCGCCTATGGGATTGTGCCCCATACTAAATTATTTGTTTGGATTGGATTTGCCCCCCTTTCTCCACACATCACACAACGATCACTATTTACACAATTTTGAAGCTACTTGTTTGCTACAATCTCTGGAGCATTTGGAGACTTGATTCACATGCGTTGGATTATTGTTAAAGCATATTTGGCTTTTGGTGGGAACTCCTACCCCATTGGTCCTGATGCCAGTTGGGACTGCGCTGTCAATATTTGCATTTGTTTATTTTATATTCTCTCCAGTGGCATTCCCATTTACTTGGGAGTACATGACGATTAATTTAATATAAAAATAAAACCAATATTGCTGTCTCTCAGCTGTACATATAATCAAAGTGCTGATATCAGGATCAATCCTCCTATATTATGCCCTATAAATAAAACATCAGAATGATGCTACACTTTCTATAAATGAAAAATGCTCAAAACATGGTTAAGCAAGCAATTATTTTTTATTTATAAAAGTGTTTAATTGCTATTAGCAGACCAATCATCTGCCCTATGTGCCACATCTTATAAAAAAATGTGCAATTACAGAAAAAACAAAAACATGAACTTTCACTATTGTGTCAATCATTCTGTATTCAAAAGTTGCCTTTGTAACAGTTCTCCACAGCTGGTTATCAGTATCTAGGCTTTTTCCAAAAATACTTAGAGAAATATATGAAAAAGAGTAGACATTGTTTCAAGCAATAATTATTATAAAACATGTAAAAAACTAAAAAAAAACTTTAGAGCAGCATTTGCAGCACTTGCCAGTAGATAATCTCTATGTACACAAAAAAAAAATATTAATTCAAAACCAACAAAAACAGTAAGTATACATATAAACAAACTCCTTAGGGGCAGATCACACAAATGTTTCTCTATACAAATCCAAACAAAAAATCCAATTGTGCACATTCATGTGGGTTATGCAGACTGAGATTCCAAATATTTGCCATAGATCAGGTTCTTTACTTCGAGCACCATGACCACCTCAGTGATATAAAGTGGTCCTGGTGCCTGGAGTCTGTATGTGCAGATTTGCTTTGAATTGCTGCAGATGCAGAGTTTAAACCTTCTGCTCAGGGAGGTGTAACTCCCAAGTATTCTCTAGTTCAGATAGGTTTTCAGTATTTTTAGTTTGTCCTAAAGTTTGCAATTCACTTTAAATATGGGATAAACTGCACTTTAGAGAAAACATCTGTCAATGTTCACAGATCTGTAATATTTTTTTTTTCACATGAAGGGCAGTTAGGAGGCAAGATTCCCTGCCAACTCTAGCCAATTTCTGAAATAAAAAAAAAATTAGTTTCCTAAAACAAATAGGTAATTCTAGAATATAACAATACAAAAGGTGTCATGTTAATCCACCATCTGAATGTCTTTGGAGTAGAAAATACTTTTTTTTTTTCCCATACAATGACCATGAACCACTTTCCATAAGAGGCCCTAACAAAGTTGTGATATGATCTTCCCACTATGAACAAAACTGAAAATTGCATTAAATGTTTTATTTTTCACCTTCTGGCTTAACAATCAGAGCTATATTAAAAATCAATGGCATTCATTTCAAACCATGTAACCATGTGACTGCAGAAACATTGCAGTAATATTGTTTGTAAAGTTATGCACAAAGAAGGAAGCTGTTGACATTACGTACACCCTTGAACCTCAACAGTTTACAAATATTATCAGTTTAAAGGGACACTATAGTCACCAAAAAAACTGAAGCTTAATGTAGTGGTTCTGGTGAGTATAATAGCTCCCTTTAGGCATTTTCATGTAAACACTGCCTTTTCAGAGAAAAGGCTGTGTTTACATTGCCCCTAGGGAGACCTCCAAGTGTCCACTGGAGGGGCTTCCTGGCTCAGCCCTGCCGTTCAGCGTCCCCACGCTCTGCATAGAGACGCTGAATTTTCCTCATAGAGATGCACTGATTCAATGCATCTCTAGGAGGAGGTCCTGATTGGCCAAACCGGCATTTGTCCCCGCCCCCGTGCCCGATTCTAGCCAATCCAATGCTTCCCCTATGGGAAAGCATTGGATTGGCTAAAAAGCAGCCATTTTGATGATGTCACAAAGGGGGGGGGGGGGTGTTTTGGGCCAATGCTGGCAGACCCTGCGGTGCTGGAAAGAAGGTGAGTTTTATACTTTTATAGGGGGGCAAGCTACCTAAATGGTGGGTTTTGCCCCCATAGGGTCAGGAATACATGTTTGTGTTCCTAACTCTATAGTGATCCTTTAAAACAGTAAATGTGTCTAACGGCACATGCAAGTTTTTGCGTCAATTACACTATATGTTTTCACTTTTACATGGCAAGATTTTCATTAGTGTTATTGCTGCCCTACATTGGCTGAGAACTTGTACACATTACAGAGAACTACTTCATCAAGAACATACAAAGGAATATGGAATCACAGCCACATTAATAGGGCACAGGTACCTTTAATCAGAGACAGATAAAAGAACTCTGTAAACTGTTAGTGCAAATTAATTGTTTGCATACACTCTTCTTGTTGGGGTGAACGCCATCCTAGACCCAAGAAAATAATTAAGAGCAAAAACAAGTCCTGATATTACTACTATCTGGTATTGACAACTGCCCCTCCCGAAAAACAATACTGAGACTAATGAAGTGGAATTTTTTTGTTAAAATAAACAGAAGTGGAGGCCAGTCATAGTAAAAGGTAGGCAAAGTTCCTTGTCAGTATTTGTTGCAGTGGTAAGGACTAATGAGAATTAGAATGTGAATGCTTTAAATGAAATATTTATGTACTGTCCTGTTTTCTTGGGCTGTCATCAGGTAACAGTATCACGGGATGGAACTGGACTTCTTCAAAGCAGTTGTTGTTTTTCAAATACGTGTATATACACCAAATGTTGAATACAGTGGATTAAGTTGGAAGAGTCAAATAGAATAGAATAGAGACTCGTGCCCCCGTCATCTTTAAACTCCCCCCAGTCTCCTCTAAAGAATCAAAGCAGACCTGTCACTTTTCAATAATTCATAAAGATATATATACACACACACACATATATATATGGACTACTTTGTGTTATGGTAAAATCTGAGGTTGAAAAAAACTGACAAAAGGCAGAACTCCACCGTCAACTTTGGTCAAATGACAGCTGTGGGATTCAGCCTCTGTCTAAGTAGGATCCCAAGGTCTCCTCCACTGACCTCAGTGTTGTACTCTCACACGTGTGTGTCTGTGTGTATAAGCCACTGACATAGCTCTTGGAAACTGAAGCATCAGGAGCCAAAGAGGACAGCAGGATGAAGATGGAACAACCATGAGGGTTTCTAAGGTAAGTAAAACTTACCTCCCCTTCACCCTGTGGCCACTAAACCCACATCAGATTTCTCCACTTCGAGGGTCTTTGCAAAGTACACCAAAAGTAACGTTGAAAAAAAAATCATTCACAATAATTTTTGAGTATCTAATTTGTAATAGTATTACATATAAGGGATATTTTATGTATTCCCCTAGTTGCATCACCAACCCAGTCACATGAAAAACATGTGTTCTGTACAATATTAATGGTATACAAGGAAATTGTCTAACAGGATCAGATGACTTCCTGGTCACAACTGCTGAGCACAAAGGGCACACGACTGCATTATCATCAATAATTGAACAAGGAAGAGGAACTAATGATGTGTAGAAAGCAGAGAATCCCAATAAACATTAAGTGTATAAGACCTGTACAGTATATGTCACTGCCTGAAAATGTTTAATGTAGACTGCACAAGAAGGCCAAAAGCTTCCATTCACCAATATCACGCCTTCCTTCACCTGTCTATTGTCCCACAGCATACCTCTTCATTAGTGATGTCCCGAACGGTTCGCCGAACGGTTCGCCACGGACTCCAGTCAGCAGACACATTCCAGCCAATCAGCAGCAGACCCTCCCTCCCAGACCCTCCCACCTCCTGGACAGCTCACTAAGAATGCAGCTTCAAAATGGATGCTGTCCAGGAGGTGGGAGGGTCTGGGAGGGAGGGTCTGCTGCTGATTGGCTGGAATGTGTCTGCTGACTGAAGTCCGCGGCGAACCGTTCGGGACATCACTACTCTTCATACCTTATTTTCAATGTAAGCCAAACCAACACCCACAGATTTTTGTTTTAAAATCTGTCAGTGAAAAAATATTAAAGGAACACTCCAGTCCCCTAAAGTACTTCAGCTTGGGGTTAACTGGCTGTGCTCTTTGTCTTATTTTATAAAAGTGACAATTGTTTTTTAAAAATTGAGATAATGGTTAAGTAATGAAATTCCCTAATCACAAACTAAACACGGAATACATATTAATGTTCACTCACATTTTAAAATTCAAAGTTAATTTGTAGCAAATGCCATCAAATGCATGAATAAATACATAATGAGAGCAGGCTCTGTGCAAGAAAAATCAGGACTTGCACTTGGCTTTGAATTGGGTAACTTATTAGTGGTTCATACACACACTTACTATAAACAGTATCAAATGAATACACAGCAAACAAGTGTTAACCCCTTCAGGACCGCTGACGGTTCAGGACCGTCATAGCGAAAAACGGGCTGCAGGAAGTGATCAAAGATCGCTCCCACCGGTATAACGCTGTAACTATCTGCCAGACATCCTAGGCAGATAGTAACAGCCAATTGCAGCGTGTGAGCGATCCGCAATCGCTCACAATTGGCTGCTGTCAAAGTGGGTGTTACAAACACTCACTTTGACAGTGATCTCTGCCCCTCTCTCCTCTGTAGCGTTTTGTGAGGCGAGAGAGACAGAGATCGTGATAGTTTGTTGCAGCAGAAGAGTTCCAGAGCTTTATACAGTATCTAAAGTGAATAAAAAATCCCTTTTAACCCCTTCCCTGCCAGATCTGTTACAGCAGTGCAATTGTACTGTCTATATTTTTTTGCCCTTAAAAGGTTAAATTTGTTTTAAAAATCTGTGTCTTGGTCTGTCTTAGTCAGTCAGTTTCCTTCCCCCAAATCTCCATTAGATTTTTGTGACAGGAGTCAGTTTAGGGATTGCTGTTTAGTCTGTTTTAGTAAAAAATAAAAAAAATAAAAATGTGTGTGTTTGTAATTTGGTTTAGTCGTGTGTAAAACATGCAGCGTATGTATAACTTGCAGGAGGCATATGCCTTCTTGGCGTTAGACTCTGACGCCACTGACACTGTGTCAGATTTTGACCCAGGTCAGTTTTCTGACACGTCTAGTCAAGACGACATGTCATCTGTGTGTGAGCCGGCTGAAGAAAGAAGCTGTGCTTCCTCTGCTACACCGAATGTGGAGGAGGACTGGGTACCTCCGGTTAGCCGAGCCCAACGTCCCCCCTTTTAGTGCCAACGCAGGCATTAATGTTAATGTGGATGGCTTCTCCCCAATGCAGTATGTAGAACTATTTTTAGGGGATACCATCTGGGAGGAGATTGCTTCCCAGACTAACTTGTATGCTACCCAATTTACTGATAACAATCCAGGTAGCTATACAGACAGGGAGCATGACTGGCATCCCACAGATGTCCCAAAGCTTAAAAATTCTGGGCTCTTACAATGCTCATGGGTATTATAAAGAAGCCATCAATTCGCTCATACTGGAGCACCAACCCAATAATGTCTAGTCCAGTATTCTCCCAAACCATGCCTAGAGCCAGATATGAGTTACTGCTGAGATTTTTACATTTCAGTCACCCTAGAGATCACCCACAATACGATAGGCTTCATAAAATACACCCACTGCTAGATCATTTTCAGGACAAATTTTCAGATGTTTATACCCCCAACAAAATTTATCCATAGATGAATCGCTAATGAAATACAAAGGGAGATTAGGGTTCAGACAATACATCCCCTCAAAGCGCTCTAGGTATGACATAAAACTGTACAAACTGTGCGAGAGCGAAAGTGGATACACGTTTGCCTTTCGTGTATATGAGGGGAAAGATGGTCAACTGGACCCTCCTGGCTGTCCTGACTCCCTGGGGACAAGTGGGAAACTTGTATGGGACCTGCTAAACCCCTTGTTTAATAAAGGTTACCACCTTTACGTGGATCATTTTTATAGTAGTGTCCGTCTGTTTAAAACACTTTATGGTTTACAGACACTGGCCTGCGGCACTGCCAGAAGAAATTCCAAAGACTTTCCACGATCTCTCATAGAGGCAAAATTTAAAAAAGGCAAATGTAAAGCACTTCGCAAAGCTGAAGTGCTTGCACTAAAATTTAGGGACAGGAAAGATGTCAACATGCTAACCACCATCCATGACGAACGCATGTCAGACGTCTCTGTCCGGGGCAGAGTAGAGTCCAAACCGGTTTGCATCAGGGCGTATTATAAATACATGGGGGGTGTTGATTTGGCTGATCAGCTGATGCAGCCATATCTTATTTTACTAAAAAACCAAAGCATGGTATAAAAAGGTGGCTATGTATCTGATACAAATTGCAACCCACAACTCATTTTTGCTTTTTAAAAAAAATAATCCAGGGAAAACCACCTTTCTCCAATTTCAGTTGAAAATTATTTCTTTAACAATTTATGGAGATGGACAAGTTCCAACAACGGTGCAAGCTGAGTCCAGGCATTTTATTTTTAAGTTAGCGCCAACTGCTAGAAACCCCCCCTGCCCCACACCTCTCCCACGAAACGATGCCGGGTGGTTTTAAAAACGGGAAAAGGACAGACACCCCTTTTCACTGTCCTGATTGCCCTTCGAAACCAGGACTGTGTGTAGGAACATGTTTCAAGCTGTACCACACAGAACAGTTGTAAGAAGTGTTCCTGAATTATTTTTTTGTTTCTTTGGAAAGCAGACATTTTTTGTTAGTCAGTTTCCTTCTCCCAAATCTCCAGTTAGATTCTATTTGCAGGAGTTAGTTTAAAGATTGCTGCTAAATGTACATTTGCTATCTGCACAAGTTTTCTGGCAGTAACACAAAACCAGTAGGCCAAAAATAGATGACGTGTGCATGAAAACCAGAATTAAAAAATTACCACTACACTTTCTTTGGGGGGCAAAATGGTTGGGGGAAAGAAGTCAAATGGGGTATCTTCTATAACCTTTGATGTCTACTTTATAAAAATATATACTATATATACTGTCATGATGGTAACATTAACTGGGGGTGGGGGGTGCAAAAATATGTCAAACTGAAGATAGACCAAGCATACCAATATATCAAGTTGAAAAACTGACATGTACACGTTCTGATTGTTGCCTTTTGGCCCCCAAACAACCCAGCAACCCTATACATGGGGGTATCACTGTACTCGGGAGATGTTGCTGAACATATTGGGGTGTTGTTTGGCAATGACACATAACAGGATCTGTTAATTCATGCCTAAAGTACAATGTGTGTGACAAAGAAACAAAAACAAGATTACTACCCAAAAGTTTGACAAAGGCTGGTGGTAGAATCAGTGCATGAAAAGTGTTAAAATACCACCATTTAAAATACCCTGGGTTGTCTACTTTTCAAAAATATATGGTTTGATGCGGGTAAAATACATTGGCTGGCTTCAAAAATGTCCCAAATAGGACATGCATGCAGATTGACTACATGTCAAAATTCCAAGCTGGGAAACTGATATGCGCATCTCCCAAATGTGGCATTTTAGCCCCAAAACAACCCAACACATCTATACATGGGGGGTCTCACTGTACTCGGGAGATGTTGCTGAACACATATTGGGGTGTTGTTTGGCAGTGACACCTAACAGAATCTGTGAATTTATACCTGAATTGCAATGTATGTGATAAAAAAATAAACTACCTATGCAAAGTTTGGCAAAGGTTTGTGGTAAAATGGCTGCGTAGAAAGTATCAAACTATTCTTAGATGAATACCCTGGGTTATCTAGTTAAAGAAATATATAGACATGTGGGGTGTTTTTTTGGAGATTTATGACATAACAGTGTTACAATGTCACTAGTGATGTCACGAACGGTTCGCCACGGATGGCGAACATAAACATAAACTTTGACCCTGTACCTCACAGTCAGCAGACACATTCCAGCCAATCAGCAGCAGACCCTCCCTCCCAGACAGCTCACTAAGAATGCAGCTTCACAATGGATGTAAAATGGATGCTGTCCAGGAGGTGGGAGAGTCTGGGAGGGAGGGTCTGCTGCTGATTGGCTGGAATGTGTCTGCTGACTGTGAGGTACAGGGTCAAAGTTTATGTTTGCTGTCCGCGGCGAACCGTTCGGGACATCACTAAATGTCACTATTGATACATTTGAAAAATGTACATTTTGAAACCGCAATTTCCTACTTGTACTTATAGCCCTATAACTTGCAAATAAAAGCAAAAAAACTCAAACATTTGGGTGTTTTTAAACTCAGGACAAAATTTTGTTTCATTCGATTTTGTAGATCAGTAAAAGATTTTTTAAGTAAAAGTAAAAAAAAAAGTTTTTTTTTAATTTTTCACCATATTTTATTATTTTTAAATTAAATTATATCACACGATAAAAATAATAGTATGTAAAGAAAGCCCTTTTGGTCCTGAAAAAAAATAAAATATATAATTTGTATCGGAACAGTAAATGAGAGAGCGGAAAATTACAGCTAAACACAAACACCACAAAAGTGTTAAAATAGCTCTGGTCCTTAACGTACAAACATCGCAAAAACAGTCCGGTCCTTAAGGGGTTAAAAGATATACTACAAACAAAAAATACAAATATAATAAAGAATATACTTATCAATAACAAAGAAACAGCTTCCCACAGATCACCTCCCAGATAGTGGTCTTAACAAGCCATAGAAATATATACAATACACCTGGGATTCAGCTGATCTTCCTAAAAGGTAATAAATAAACAGAACATAGCGTAATACAGTTTATGGAAAATAATATTCCCTGCTATAGAATGCACTCACAAGAAGTTGAAGTAAAATAAAGATGCATCCAGCGAAGTAGATAGAGGGCTAATATCTCCTTCTCAGGATCGAAGTATCACCAAGCATCAGGACCCCATCAGGACTTCGATAGGTAGATAAGTATAAAATGAATTTATTGAAGGTAAAAGAAGTAACAATAAAATAATGGGTCTTACGCGTTTTTTCCCACCATTGGGACTTCTTCAGAGACCAATATCAATAAAATTCAATGACAATAATAATGTTCCCAAAAAAGAAGCCAAAAAGAGCAATCCAAGTGTGAATTTCATATTTTAGTCAATAGCTGGACATCAGAACTTCTCAAATCAGCTATGTTTTTACTTACTCTATTTTGGTGTCAATTGTGAAAGTCTCTTTAAATTCTTTTTGAGTTCCCAACAATTTACACCTACCAATAACCCTGAAAACCGTGAACTGTGATGAGCTGAAATCTGTACTGCAAAATGTAATCTAATAAAACAAAACAGTGACTCTAAGGTGTTTTTTCTTCTTACTAAGCACCAACTGTTTTAAGCTGCTCCTCTCCAACCCCCAGCCCAAAAATAATAAAAATCAATTTGTAGCCTAAAGTTTCTAAAGTTTTTGATTCTGTTATCAATTCACTGTTTAGTGAGTATCCTTAACTCCTTAAGGACACATGACATGTGTGACATGTCATGATTCCCTTTTATTCCAGAAGTTTGGTCCTTAAGGGGTTAAAGATGTTCCCAGAAGATCATGCTAACAAGTAAGCAGGAAACATTATTCAGGAGAAGACAGAGGCACTTAAAGTGACCAAGTTTAAAAAAACAAAACAAAAACCCTTAATAATAAAGTCTTCATTTTTGGCAGGTTAAGCTGTTACATTGCTATTACACCCAGTATAATGCAATAACTGAAAAAAAGAGAGAGTATAGGCACACAACAAATACTCCATTGTTTACTAGAAAAGCCACTCATGACATATGTTCAACCAATGAGAAATGTCACATTTAGCAGGTGGATTTCTCCATTCATTGAGGTTTACTATGATAAATCGGAACTTATGAAACGCAGTGACCATGATTACTTTTAGTGTTGTGGTTTTAAAGCACCAACATATTCCGCAGCGTCGTTTAACAAGCAAGTCCTTAAAAGAAAAAAAGAAAGAAAATACACAGTTCACATCCCTTGTTATTATTGTTTCAGTGAGCATTAAGAAGGGGGTACATACTAAAAAGGTCCAGTTTGCTGTGAGTTGTAGGCTTCCAGTACAAGACACAACACGAGTTATTCTGTGCCATGCCATATTGCTTTATGGCGCCGACCTATACCGTGTCGCCGAAGCCTGCTGCCCTGTGTGTTTGTCGTACTGACCCCATGGCTGGCACCGTATTAACCCTGGCTGTCCCAGCACCTGCTCCTTCATGGCTATCGGCACCCCCCCGGCGGCCAGCTCCCACCCCCGGCGGCCACCCAGAGCCCCCCACCCGGCGGCCAGCTCCCACCTAGATGCCCCCTGTGTCTGTGGTGTCTGTGGCGGGCTGTGTGTCGGTGTCTGTGGGCTGTGTGAGTGAGTGGCCGCTCAGTGCGCTCCCCGCACCCTCCTTCCTTCCCTCCATGTCTTTCCCCTCCCCTCGGTCCGTCATTCTCCCCGCGCTGTCTCCTCCTATTGCCTCGGCCGCCGCTCGCTCTCTCTCGCTCCCCTGTTTGCCAGTCGTTCCCCGCCGAGCCCCGGGCTTTGCACCCACCATGGGCCTCAGGTGATAAACCGAACGGGCCGCCGGATCCAGCGGGCGGGGAGCGGAGCTACCGGAGACCGGGGATCCCGGGCCTGACCGCCCGCACCGGGGGCCTCCACAGCGGGTGAGTGACAGAGCCAGACATGGCTCCCGGCCTGTGTAACGTGTCTGTCAGCCACCCTCACACCGCCATGGTCATACATGTGCTCCTAGACACCATGGTCATACATGTGCCCCTAGCCACCATGGTCATACATGTGCTCATAGCCACCATGGTCATACATGTGCCCCTAGCCACCATGGTCATACATGTGCCCCTAGACACCATGGTCATACATGTGCCCCTAGACACTGTCATATTAAGCACGATAGTTATACATGTGCTCATAGCCATGGTGATGTCATACATGTGCTGTGCCTAATACTGATGTACATGTGGTCGTGTCTGTGTCAGTAGTAATGCTGTCAGTACATGTGGTTTTTTCTCTCTCTCTCTCTCTCTCTCTCTCTCTCAAATGCTTTTTGTTGTTTCCTGTATTACCCCAGACACTCACAGTGACTGTATCAGTGCCATGCTGCCTCTTCCTCTCTCTAGAATGAATAGGTCCCTCAGTGTTCTGCTATTATAATTCCAGACCCTTTGTATTTCTAGCTTGGGCACAGAGCTGGTAATCTATCTCTACCTTGGAAATTCTTCATGGGACAACATAGGGTTTATTGGTTCCCTCATCATCCAAGTCAAGTACTGAGACAGTTTATACAATCTGGGTTATGATACAGTGATTTATAATTAGCATGGAGTAAACAATTGCAGTTTCTTTCATAGGGTAGTATTTTAAGTTCCGTTATTAGTGTTGGGAACTTTGTGCAATCCTTTAGTTTCGTATGCAATTACAACATAGTCTGTTGTAACCGTGCCTTTGTATAAATTGATTAGTGTAGATGTCATCTTGCTCTATTGGAGACCAGGAATACATTATAAGAAACAGTCCAGGTGGAAAATCACATTTGAAAGAGTTCATAATCAGCAAAACAGATGGGTATCTTACTTAGGAAGTATTTTACTGTGGTAATGGGTTTGTTAATCAATGTGGCTATTCAGCTAAAGTCAACAAGGCCAAGTGCCATAAATGTAAAATGTATTATAGTACATTAAGAGTAGATGAAAGTGTTACATATATATCATGATAAGTGAACATATTTTTGTGTATTACTGAATTGGGCTGGGGAATTCTCATTAACTGAAACTTTAAATTATTGAGTAGGCAGAAATACCGTTTCTCATATCCGTACAAGTCCTCAACTTGTGTATTTCCCTCATAGCGCTCTATGAATAAGCCTGTAGTGCTGATGGAGTGGACATGTGCAGTTGTGAATCGCTGTATTCACGTCTTTTCATGAATAATACTACTTGGGAGTGCAAAACCATGTATCCCATAAAAATCACAAGGTGCAGATAATACCAAACATGTAGAAACAAAATAGAGGAATAGGATTGCTTGAGAAAAATCACCCCTTCCTGGTAACCGCATAAATTACAGATTTGCTGCAAGATTATCTATTTTTTTTAAACAGATTTCTTTTAGTAAATTACCACTATCCAACATTATCCTTTTAAAGAAATACTCCAAGCTCCCTAACCAGTATTGCACTCTCTAGTGTTATGGTGCCAGGTATGGCCTGGTGCGCTCATAGGGTAACATATTGTGGTGCATTAAAGAACCACTATAGTGCCAGGAAAACATACTCATTTTCCTGGCACTATAGTGCCCTGAGGGTGCCCCCACCTTCAGGGTCCCCCTCCCGCCCGGCTCTGGAAGGGGGTAAAAACTTACCTTTTTCCAGCGCTGGGCGGGGAGCTCTCTGCCTCCTCTCCTCCTCCGATCCGCCCGTCGGCTGAATGCGCACGCGCGGCAAGAGCTGTGCGCACATTCAGCTGGTCCCATAGGAAAGCATTAATAATGCTTTCCTATGGACGCTTGCGTGCTCTCACTGTGATTTTCACAGTGAGAATCATGCAAGCGCCTCTAGCGGCTGTCAATGAGACAGCCACTAGAGGATTTGGAGGAAGGCTTAACCCATTGATAAACATAGCAGTTTCTCTGAAACTGCTATGTTTATAAAAAAAAATGGGTTAACCCTAGAAGGACCTGGCACCCAGACCACTTCATTAAGCTGAAGTGGTCTGGGTGCCTAGAGTGGTCCTTTAAGAGTAAACAAAATAATTGAATGTGTATTGTAAGACGTGTATACATTTTTGTATCTTACTGGATTGGTAAGATAAATTTGATAGCTTACCTGGGGTCTTCTGGGCACTGGTCACCTCCTCCAGTAGAACTGGAAATATTCTCTAATATACTAGCCCTGGACTTGGCTTATCGGCTGAGAGCTCTCGGTTAACAATCTCAGCAAACAATTCCAGTGGAACGAACGCTTGTCATACTGGCTACAAATGGTTTGTCCACTTACCTGGGAAGGCGTCAATATACTCCTGGCACCATAAGCACTACGAGGCACTCTAAAGGAGTGTTCATATATGGTAAGCCTGCTAGACTGTTCAAATTTTTCGGTATGCACTCTGTGTGCAAAATTTCACTTTCTTATTGAATGAAATTAATTGGGGCTGTCATTAGCACTGTGAGTCTACCCATTTCAGTTTAATTGATAATGTAGAATTTACACTTCCGTATTATCAATATCCAATGCCAATTTTCATTAAAACAGTGTTCCAAAATGTTAATTTGCACAAGCTATGCAAAAACTAATAATTTCCTTTGAAATTTCTCTGAAGTACTTGAAGAGGGGCCTCTGCGAGAGTAACTAATTTGTCATGTTGAATGTAATTGTCAGCCTGCTTTCACAGTATGGGTTCACTATATTTCAGAATTTGAACACTTACGTAGAAGCTGAGATTGACATATTTTACACCTGTTTAGTGCCATATAATCTCCAAGGTACAGCTTAGGCATTACCTTTTTCTCATGTTAATAGTGGAAAAAAATTTAAAGCCACACATTGGGTATGGATGTTTTTGGTTTTCTATTAGACTGCTATTATTTATTTATTTATAGAATATTTTACCAGGAAAGCTACATTGGGATTTCTCTCATTCTCGGGTCCACAAAACATTGCATTGATACAATAGGGTACAATAAAATATAAAAACAATATTAATACACAATATATACAAAATTTAACATAGAACAGGTAGGAAATATATAATCAACCATGACAGGTTCATTCAGCTTTGAGGTATGTAGAGAGGGATCTCTTAAAGGACTTTAGGCTTGGGGAAGATTTGAAAGTGTGCGGGAGGTCGTTCCATAATTGTGGTGCTCTGTGGGAAAAGGAGGATAGAGCCGCTTTTCTTTTGTACTGAGGTAGACTAACTAAAGTGCTGTTATTGGATCGGAGGTTATAGGAGGTGGGAACAGCCGGGAAG